ACGTTTTGCATCACCCACGTTAGATTATGAAGGAAAAAAGAAAGAAAAACTACAATAAATTGACAATAAAACACTCGAAACAGTTTCTAACAAGAGTCTAATTGAGAATATCTTCTCTACAGTAAATCCCTTTTAGTATAGTTCAGCCACATATATTGCAAGAATAATGAGCAATCGATTGAAGAATTAAATGGTTACACCAATACAGCTGCACTTCCATAACCTCTCCAGGGTCGAGAGGCAAAAAAAGAGAGAGGAGAAGAGGGCTTTAGTTGTGAAATAGGATAGGCTTGAAATTAAAGAGTAGTGTTTCATCTCTCGGCATGTCTGTCTCAGCTCTGTCACATATAATGGGAGGGGTCAGCCCTCGGCACAGAGGGGACTGTCCTCTGCTATCAGCCCACCGCTTCATCTAGCGTTAAAGCATAACCGTGTAAGCCTGCAGTTCAAGTCGCCTGTCAACCGCAGGGCTCCAGAGAGGGTTATCAGGCCCCCGAGCTGTCGGCTGCTCCTGCAGCAGAGAGAACGGCCAGCGGTCACATTCACTACGGCCACCGCACCTAAATGTGGGCTGACGCTGATAAGATTACCCCACGGCAGTGTGTTTTTAAAAGATTCTGTAAAACTACACGATTTCTGATTTCTGATTCTATAAACAAAGCCGCTGAAAAGCTGTCTTCACAATGAACGCGCCTAATTGAAAATCCTGTGATAACACGCCTTCTGAAACTTTGTGGGTTTGTCAGCTGGGTGGTGGTGGGGGGTAATACATTTGTAGCCATTTCTACACACAATAATCTTATTCACACAAGCTGTAGAGCCACTGTTTATTTACATCACTGATATTGGAAACGGCTGCATTTTAAAAGTGGCAGGAATCGTTACTGTCAAGGCTTCTTCTTGTCATTGCAACTTACAGTCATGTCAGTTTGTCTATACAGCTTAGACACAGACAGCTTTCTGTGGCAGAATCTGCATACTTACAAGGGAACCCGGCAGCTAATGAACAGCGGTGTAATTGACATACTAGCACGGGAGTCTATAAAATGCCATTCGTTTCTTTCACTGTCAGGGAGGAGCAGTATTTATTTAGTTCTGGCTCAATGGGGATTAATAAGCATATACCCTTGAAGGAATGTGGCCACTCTGCGATTGATCAGTTCTAGATGCAGTTGTTTTTACAAAGAAACACATCCCCTCATTAGGTAAACCCCAATCCCTCCCTTCTTCTCATTATTGCCAGTTGGGGGAAAAAAAGAGAACAACAACACAAACATGCAGATAATGACCTTATAAGGAGATGTTTGTGGGCTGTCAATTGTTATATATATATGTATATATATGCCATGTGGCTGTTGGACCCAGGCACAGCGTGTCACTGTCTGAGCCTGTATTTACACTGGCTTTAGTTAGCATAGGGACAGTGGGGCCCAGGCATACATATTGTACAACTGTCATTTAACTGTCAAATCCCCCCAACAAAAAATAAACAAATAAATAAAAATCTGGTTTCAAACAAAAAATCTTCAGCATATTTCATATGCTGTTCCCGACTGTTTATCCCTCTGGATACAACATTGAAATTTTCTAATCATTTGCCTTGCCTCTCCTTACAATGGCATGTCTCTTATTATCAGAGAACTCCTACTAGGACCATATATCATTTTGAATGGCTTTTTGGCATGGTGGAGAACACACTTTGGCAGGGTATTAACTCCAGCTTTTATCCCATCCTTCTTACTGGATGAAGGTCACTCCCTCTATCTGCAAAATGACTTTTCTCTCTTCTCTTTCATCCCTGCTTTCCTCCCATCCTCCACACCAGGGCATGAGTCAGAGAATCTGACACCTCACAGGAGAGGAGAGTAGAGGGAGGAGAAAGTGAGCGAGATGGGAGACAAACTGAGGAAGAAAACAAGCGGAGATGGAGACGGTTGGAGGGAAGAGAGACAAGTTGATCAATATCTCGGAGAAACAAGGAACCTGAGACGATCTGGAGTGGCCCCCGCTTCCTTGAGGTACAAGACGCTGCATTAAACATGGCAAATCAATCAGTGCACAGATGGTGCAGGAGTCCTCATCATAATTCTCAGCTGTGCAATGTCCTTTATAGTTTCGCACAGTTCGTCTGCAGGATTATACTGCTTGCAGCATCACTACGCTTAAGTTGGCTGACTCAATGGTGTATTATTTGACATAAAAACATTACCGCGCGCGTTGAGCTGAAACTACGGATTACATAAGCTTCAAAACAAACTGAGCACAAACCCAAAAATAGTGCGGTCCCTGCTAAATATTTCACGCGCTAGGCAGCTGAAGGGGGGATAAAAAGCTTCTCTCCTTCTCTGTCGCATACAAACACACACACACATAGATGCAGATGGCCAATTGAAAGAAAAACCTCCATTTAGTGTTCTGTAGAGCAGAGCGGATTACTTTCGTGAAGACAGTCTTTTAGCTTTTTCGCACGACATACAGGACTTACTGGATTTGAGTGTTTAGAATACACCTATCATTACTTCTTAAGGCGCTCTGTAAAGACAGCATAAAAGGTCCTCTTTGACGGTAACTTCTGGACTAAATAAATCATGCTCATGAGACTCTTTGTGAGACACAACAGGAGAGTCATGAGGCTTGCTTGGTCAATCTTTGGAGCTCAGCACAGAGCTATCTTTTCATAGCAGGGACAGCCCGAAGCTCTGTCAGCCACTGGGTCTGTTTAAAGAACAGCAGTGAGGGTCACATTGTGTTAGAGAAGAAAGGGTCTCTTCATAGGAATACAAGAAGATCCAAAAAAAGGCTCTCTGTGCTGTTTATATGCAGGGAGGGCGCCAGATCACAAATCAACAAGTACTCATGTAATGTTGTTCCATAGCTTTCTTGTGTCTCATGGTAAAGCATGAGAATAATAATGATCACAATGGGAGTACAGCCTCAAGTGCCTGTAGTTATTAGATAGTGACAAGCACAGGTTAATCACTCAAAAGCAGGTTAATTGCTACAGGGGATTTATCTCAAGTATTAGAGAGGAAATTGATATGTATTGAAAAAATGCTCCTGTGATACAACATCTAAATTAAAGCCTGAAAGAAGACGATGATACTTCTAAGCTTCAAACACTGCAAGTTATTACAATTAAATTACTGCTGAAAAGCAGAAAAAAATAAGACAAAGATAAGTCTGTGGTGCGATAAAATCAATAGAATAATATTGAAATCTGCATGCAATTTAAGCTGTTTGCTGTCCCATGCGCTGCTTTCACTACAGGAATGCTCTTCCCGTATTCTCCTTATGAGTAAAAAGTGATTGAATATCCCCTCATATCACTCTGCAGAACTCTTTATTAGAGTAAAGCTGCTGTGCTGAGCTACATTTACTTGATGACTGCAAAGCAAAACTAAGCATTGTGCCTTTTTTTTACTCCCTCCTGCTGACGGATTATTGGCAGTTCCCAGACGTTGGAGCAGCACGTGTCAGGTCTGGCTTCTGTTATTTATGAGGCCTCGCAGCCCCAGCCCTCACTCTGCAGCAGAGATGCAGGTGGGGTTTCATTATTGAAGATGTTCTTCCACTTCTTATTAGATCTCTGACTCGCAGAGTGCATTAAGGAATTGCAGCTGGACAGAGAATCAGCAATACATGATGGCCCGCCTCTTTGGCCCCCAGAGTGTTTTTAAAAGATACGTGTGCCTCTTATATCAGACAAATTGTATGTCCTACTCCCTTCCCAGAAATAAATAGTGTTTGCACTCAAGCAGATGCCCCGTTCACTACACACAGATGAAAAATCAGTTTCTTATTGATCTCGCCTTTGTCCTTTCAGAACACATATCTAAATCGTGTTCTGCTCCTTCAGTAGAACCGCCATACAACGCACTGCATCCGAGTCAAACATCTATACTCTAAGTAATGTGCAATCCTCTAATTGTGCCCCCATTTCTCTCCGGATGTGAACATGCAAGATTCATGAGCATCTCCAGTCAGCAAGGATGATGATTTCCTAAATCGATGAGAAGGTCCACTCTCAGATGTTTTTTAATTGATTCTATTGTACTAAGGAGCCTAAAAAAATATGCTCAGATTATTGCAAAATGTAAATGAAACTGCAAGTGAAAACTGAAATATCAGAGCCAATATATTTGGAAGCAACAGCTAAATGAGAATAATCCTGTAAGGAGTACTGTTTAGGAACAGTGTGTGCACAATTGAGAGGAAAGTCAAAGAGTGTCAGTTGTGTTATTGTTTAGAAACTTACAGTTGAGCAAATGTGGACGGATTCATACATTTAGGGTAAATTATAAACATTTCCAGACAAAATGCGTTTGCACAATATATACCCCGAAAAATAATATATATATTTTCGGGGTAGGGGTCAGCTTGTTATGATAGTTCTTCCATGCGGTGTAATACAAGTGCACTTAGGCATCTTGGTGAATAATGGTGCTGTCACATACACTCGCTGCCTCAGCACCAAGCGGGCGCCCACAGTACGGGACTTGTTGAGAATGATCTTTGTGTTTCAGGACGGGCCTGGCCAACGGGGTCCACTTTCATTATCATAAAACCGTGCACACACACAAGAGCCCAATTGTCTCCCCGCTCTTACTGCTGTCCCCTGCTCATCTGGGGACTTTCTGCCATATGCTGGATTTAACAACCCAGTCATTTTACGGCTTCATTAATTCAGCTCCACACACAAATGATTTCATCCTACACTGTTCTCACATGAGTGCGCACGAGTAAAAACATTAGGGACTGTAGTAATTTAGAACGACGGCAGGAATTAAGCAGTTAAAGGGCCTGATCGTGGTTGTTGAGACGAATGTGTAAGCTAAATTGTAAATATATGGCTTGATGTAGGCCTGATTCGAGAAATAAGACACTATATTTGAAGCCGACAGCGAGCAAGAATGTCACGTATTGGATAAGAGGTGTTTTAAGTTGGAGAATAGGGGACTAGCTGTCCAAAAATGTGCCTTTCCAAATACGCCGACACTTACCTGATTTCATGCAAAAGGTCGCAGTCAGCAGTTCCCTCTAAACTATCCCCATGGATCTGTGTTGGCCGGGCTTTGTATCCACATAGAGTCCAATGACACGGAGGTGTAGTGCGGACTGTCCTCCCGGAGTGTCAGCAGACTGGAGTGCAGAGCGCCTGTGCGCTGAGGAGAGACACACACACACACACACAGAGAGAGATGCAGGCAGCGACCACCCCGCTCACCCTGATAGCCAGTAACCGAGGCAGCCCGCGGGACAGAGCCGAGTGCTCTTTGGGTAAAAATCCTCCGGTTCAGCTGCTTCCAAGTGTCTGATATCTCTTCATCCCTGCCTCGGTCGGAGTGCTGCTTTTGTGATCCTTCCAGTCCTCACAGGACCTCTGCTGAGAGCGTGCCGCGCCTCTTCGCCCTGTGCGTCGCACCGCAGATTGACACACTCAAGATCACGAGTGCTTGCTCGGTCTCACTGTACACCAACTTGTCTCAGTCTAAAACGGAATCAGATGGAGAAATGCACAGTGATCGGGAGAAGTTTCATACCTGAAGGGTATGCCAACTTGCCCTACTTTAAAAAAAATAAAAATAAATCACAAAACATTACATTACAACTGATTTTAATTAACCACCTTAAACATTATCCCGCTGAGTCCCAGACAGATTACCCACCTTTGAGTACAGTTTCAGGCTTTAGGCTTTACATATCAATGATAACGGTAATCTTAATAATGCAAATATTTAGTCAATTTATAAAATGTGCAGATCAAAATTCACTGGCTCCAGCAAAGTTGGTGGCGCAGGGCTTAAATTTAAGCTTTCTTTTGAAGTTTTAAACCAGTAACTTTCTCTCACATGGCGCCATCTAGTGTCTATGTCTTGATATTGCTGTTGTTTTAAGCGTTTCTGCAAAGGGGAGGGGCACAGTAATAAACTGCGTATCATTTTAAATAATTCGCAGTATATACTCTTTCTGAAGTCACTTATCCTGTGAAGGGCTGGGACTGTAATGACTTTAAATTACCCTGATTTTTCATAAGTCTTGGCATTCCCTTCTAAGAAATGTGAAATTAACAACATTAAAGTGCCAGGAGGAAGCAAATTTGTCTGTTTCACACCAAGCAAAAGACACCTACAGCGAATTTCACTTCACGAAAAACAGCTCATTAATTTAAAAACACTAGAGCAAGACATCCAGACAGCTCCCACCGCTCCTGAATGAAGGAGGACCCGTCTGGGTAATTTGAGCATGACATCTCCATCTATTTCACAAATTATCTCAGGTGCCTCTCATTCATGCCAAAGAATGAGAACAGGATGGATGTGAACTTGTATTTTTATTTCTAAATAACAGACTGTTATTCATTACTGCTTGGCTTTTTTTTTTTTTTTTAAACCAATGTCTCTGCACGCTGTTACATTTTGTTTCATCGTTTGATGGTGACATTTCGTCCTGGCTGGGAGTCAAAAAGGAACAGAGCAGCTATGGTTCAGAAAGTAAATAAGACTTGTGGGAAAAGATATTTCCAGCAGATACATTCAAACAGCTTTTAAGGTTATTAAGAATTTATTTCCCTAAGGTATGATGGCAATTATGTCCTAGGGAACTGCTGGGCTTGGGCACATTTTAAACCCTTACAGTGTCACATGATTTACTGCGTGCTCTGAAAATGTTAACAAGGATCCAAATGCATGCGCAAGCTAGGCAGCCAGGAACTGCCCAATGTTTTTAACAAAACTGTGGTAAAAATATAGTATGGTATGGCTTTCACAATCAGACTGAATGACAACGAGAAACAAGAATGTCATTCAGGGAGAAACCTTTGGAAAGACAGCTGTTATTTGTGTATGCCATTCATGATCTTGCCACTTATTTGGATACATCTGTTTAACTGATCATGAACGCAAATATTTAATCAGCCAATCACATGGCAGCAACTCAGTGGCCGCAAACATGGTCAAGGCGACCTGCTGAAATTCAAACTGAGCATTAAAATGGGAAAGAAAGGAGCTTTAAGTGGCGTTGAACATAATTTATTTGTTGGTGCCAGACAGACTCGTCCGATTATTTCTGAAACTGCTAAACTACTGGGATTTTCCCACACAACCATCTCTATGGTTTACAGACTCTGGTACGAAAAAGAAAAAATATCCAGTAAGCAGCAATTCTCTAGCTAAAAATGTGTGTTTTTAATGCCAGAGGTCAAAGGAGAATGGCCAAACTGCTTTAAGCTGACAGGAACAACAGACAATAGTAACTACAGTAACCTCTTGTTCCAACCAAGATATGCAGTAAAGTATCTCTTAACACAAAACACACTGAGCTAGATGGGCTACAGCAGTCAAAACAAACAAACAACAAAAACACACCAGGTCCCTCTCCTGTCAGCGAAGAACAGGCTGCAGTTCACGCAGGGTCACCAAAATTGGGCAGCAGAGGACTGGAAAAACATTGCCTGGTCTGATGAGTCTCGAGTTCTGCTGTGACATTCGGATGTTAGGGTCACAATTTGGCATAAACAACATGAAAGCAAGGATACAGTCTGCCTTTTATCAAAAGTTCAGGCTGCTGGCGGTGTAATAGAGTGAGAGACATTTTACCAGCACACTTTTGGGGCTCGTAGTACCACCTCATTGTGTAAACTCCACAACTTACCCGAGTGTTGTTGCTGACCGCATTCATCCCTTTATGACCACAGTGTGCCCATCTTATGATGACTGCTTCCAGCAGGACAACGCACCATGTCCCAAAAGCTCAAATCCACTCAAACATGTTTCTGGAACATGACAATGAGTTCACTGTACTCAAATGGTCTTCACAGTGTATTATGTCCTCATCATCCAAAATCTCTGAGGAATGTTCCCAGCACCTTTATGCAACAAAGTGAGGGAATTAAATGAAGGAATCAGGATGAGTTGTGTGAAAACAGAGATACAAATTTAAAAATGAACAGGACTAAGAGGAAAATTGTGAGAATTATCAGGTTTGATTGGTGAACAAAGTCATTTTATACCTGATACATTACCGTAGAAAGGAGAGGAGAGACACATTATAGTGTTTCTTTAAGTTTGGGCTTTAAAGCAAGCGTTACTATTGCTTTCCTACTGTTGTTGGGTCTGTCACCGTATGAACCAGGCACTCAACCATAAAGCATTACTGAATAACTTACCGTGATCCATGCAGCCCGATGGCAGAGTGAAATGCTGTGTTTCAAACAGCAGGAGGAGCTGTGTGATTTTAAATCCATCTTGCAGACAAAACTGATACCTCCACCACTAGGGTGCGTGGGTCCTACAAGTGCCAGACTTTTGACATGATGGAGCCAACCTGGGTGATGAATAATGATGATGATGATGAACAAATTCATTTATCTAGATTTGGGTTTTCCTAGAAATTAATCACATTCCCTCCCTGTTATATGTGTTTGGATGCTGCCATGCTGCTGCAGTATAACATGAATTTGGATTTATTTTTAGTGATTCAACTTCAACTACGATATTTGCTTTAGTTAAGCCTGGGATGCTTCCATTTGATTTCTTTGTTATATCATCATTTCTTTGATCAAATAGAGTTAGAAATGAGACTGATCAAAATTCACAAAAGCTCTGCTCCTGCTTTAATCAGCCGTGCTATATGGACCCCCATTTGCTTTGCCAAACAAAATGTATATCATCCCTGCTCGTCTGGGACCATTCAAGCTCAACAAACGCCCCTCATACTTAATGGCATTGAAACATCAAGAGATGACACCAGCACAACAACTATAATTACTCAGCTGTGGAACATCTTTCTTCTTTTTCTTTGCTCCTCTCATGCACAAACAAACATGGCTTAACATTCTTGCCATTGAATCTTTAGGCCATTTCTTACTTTGTCCTGACTAATGGTGAGTGAAAATGTACGGGAGGGAGGACTGAACATAGTCTGCTTTTGTGTGCTTCCACATGCCAGAGCTCACAGTAGGTTTTCCTTTCATTAAAGTTACTTCTGCAGTAGTTTGATCTTCTTGAAAGCCAAAATCATCTTTGATTCTCTCTCAAGCAAGGAGCAATGCTTTGACATATCTTCTTCTTTTTTTTTAATGTTTACTTATAAAACATGAGGATTTTTTTTTTTTTTGTAGAAGCTTGAAAAACCAACTTCCTTTATAATTTATGTTCTAAGACTACAGAAACAACAGGTTTTAAATGTCCAGTAAACACGGGGACATGAGAAAACACAACTTCGACATGCACAATTGAATCCTGTTTGTATTTAAATGTTTAATGCTTATTTACAAAAACATATCACAATAGTATCACTGCCTTGGACCCATAAGTGCTTTCTGTTTTGCTTGTCAACACACAATAAAAAGATGAGATAATCCATTTCATCAATTACCTTGAAGTCTCATGGAGACAAGTCTAACGTAAATATAAATATAAGACAAGTATAAACACAAGTGCACAAAAATATACATGCATACTGCAAAGAGGGAAAATGTGTTTTAAAAAAAGAACCTTTTTTCCAGGCGAAGTAACAAAACATAACAAAAAAAAAAGGTCAAACCAGGAACATTTCTGAGCAGCATTTAAAGAAATCCGCTGGATAAGTTTCCCTCAGATCCACAGAAAGCTGTTCCAACTTACTTTTCAGCCCTTTTTTGAAACATTTCTATCAAAGCTAAGATTGAAGGGGAGCATCACACATGCCTCACAACTCTGAGTGTTTTCGATCTGTCATTTGTAATGAAGTTCTCCGCTTGGCCAGTTACGGCTCTAATAAATATTTATATTAAACAACAACATAAACACAACGTGACAAGTGAAAGGGGTTGCTGATAAAGATGAACCTACGGAGAATTATCACTCAAATCTGTAGCTCTTTTTTTAAAATAAGAGCTTTGTAGCTCCAAGCTTCAGCTCATTGTTTCGTTGTCAGGCCAACAACTTCATTGTCCTCTAGAAATCCATAGTAGACTATCTGCCTGGCACCACAGAGATAAAGAGCTAATTATTTTCCTCATGAGATGCTAGTTTTTTGTTTTTTAAAGGAAAGAATAGGGTGACAGAGAATTGATTTTGAGCTTACAGTACATTGTCAGGTGGAAAGAAACATATCTCCAAATGAATGATAATACCCAATGCACTGTAACTGTGGAGGAGGTTAAATAAGCAACTGGGCTATTTAAAAAGGTGAGAATACGTCAATGTTCTGTTTAAAAGCTGTCACGGCTGCCAAAGAAATCAGTCATTGCAGGTTTAAATTCTCCATCATGAGAGTTAGTCAAGCATACTGCAAGTGCCATGATTTAAGCTGTTGTTTATCGGTGCAATGGTCTTCTGACTGGTGCAATATTGAATTGACGACGCATTCCTAAAACACTTGATCACTACTAAGTGATCACACCAATATGTTTGCTTCCCTGATGCATTCCCTTTATGTCCATCTGATAACAGTCAGGCAATTAAAAAATAAAAGATTCAATAATGTGATAAATGTGAAAAAAAATGAAATAAACAAATAAATCAGCATAATTTATTTTACGTAAGTCTTTGAATCATCTCATTTCTAAG